TATCATAGGGACAACCCCAATACTAGAAATGGCGCGCGCTCACGGTCTCCGTCCCCGATTATGGCTCCTGCTAATAGTTAAAACAGTTGTTTAATGAGTGGGCAGTCTTACCCAGAATTTTGCCGCAGTCATTTTCCACGAAACCGGTTTCGCCTGTAAAGGGCGGTTGCGCGTGACTAATTAATCTCGACCTTAAAATCGTGACGCGTTCTCGTTCCATCCCCTGGATTGGCTGTGTAGGGTTTATGATGACTTCATTGATCAAGAGTATGCCTTAATTGACCGCCACTAACAGGTTTCTCTATGCATTACCTCTACGTTGTCCTGTAAAGATACTAGGGAGCTTAAGCAAACCACGACGACGACGGCAACGAGAACGTCACCAAACAAAAGGTTTAATGAGCAAAACAATAGCTGAGCACGTGCGTTATAAATCTCTGTACATTTCTTTGCCGTCCTCTGCAAAACAACAACGTGAAATGACCAAGTTTTGCGTCGTCCGAGGAACGCGAACGACGACGACTAATTTTTCGTATTTCCATTTGCAATTGAACGATGTCATTGCATATTCAGCCTGAGCACGTTTTTAGAGCCATTGGCGTACTGAACAGATCTAGACAATTGCGAATGTCGCTGGTAATTGAAAATATAAATTCATTTCTGAATTGTCGTCGTCCTCGGCGTCGCCGTCGTCGTAGCTTAAGCTCCCTACTATGCGTTGAGAGGTGAGCAATTCTGAGGATCAATGACGTGACATAACATTCTCTGTCAATCAGTAATGAAAAGAAAAACCGGCATCCTGTTTTTATTCCGAGAAATTATATCTTTCCTCCTTGCTGCCGAGAAACCAATTCTCTACGAAAACGCGGAAGTTAAAGTTTCCATGAACATATTCTTATTTGTGAAGGACTTTGTTTCCCGTCGAATAATCCATTTGGATTTATCAAAGTTCCATTTGATCTTTTTATAAACAGCTTCATTGTTTCGTTTTGAAAATAACGTTGAACAGCTTCGGCACGCGGAACTAAAGTTGTTTGAAAACTTTACACTATTTTTTTTTCCCAGATCGATGGCAGAAACATTCTCTTCGCAGTGACGTTAGAGTTATTAGGAATTGCTTGGAATCACGGAGAGTAAACCTCAAATCTTAACATTTTGTTTTAATTCCTGATCTCATAAATGACTCGTTGAGGCCAATCATTTCTTAGAAGTAACTTGATCCTTCCAGTGTTAGATCGCATAACTAAGGTAGGTCAGTCGATAGACAGAATATTGCGCATAGCCTTGAAGCAACTGAACTATATAACAAGGAGTTCATCTGTATACATTTGTGTGGAGATTTGTCCC